AACTAGGAATTCTTGCCCCCTTTTTTGCGAAGCGTCAGTCATCAGCTTACGTTTCTTTAGATGTAGCTGTGGAAATATAAATGATCGATCAAAATTTTGTAAATAACAATCATGGAAAGTCTGAGAATTCTGTTGAGGAGTACCTGATGATAATTTGGGAGTTAATACAGCATCAGCGATAGTAAATGTCGACAAAACAACACACAGGGTTCCTTCAATTTTTTTTCATAGAATAAAACAAAAAACTCTAAAACATATCACGCTACTCCCAACTCTTCCGATGTCTCGAATGGAGCTAGAAAACTATATTTCTACGACTACTGCTTAGGTTTGCAAGCAACACGAGATCTGTGCTCAGAACCAAATCCATTTCTCTGATCATAGCTGCAATTTTTTAACACTAGCCATATCTTTCTGAGTTTGAAAAGTTAGGAACAACGTCAGTGAATACACGCGTGATCGTCTGAACAATAGGCAATGGCCAAAAAATTTTACTCACCTTTACCGTTTGTCCAGCTTCTTCGCCATCTTGAATGCATATAGAGGACGACGAAACATTGTGGAACTAAATAAGCTCGTTTAGCATAGCAGCAGATTCGCTTGTTGTAACAAGAATAAGATCGTAGAGACCATTTATGTACATTGTATCAACTACAAGAGGCTTCCCTATCCAAAAAACTGTCGCTAGGCGCGGATCATTTTCTAATACTCAAAAAAGTAGAGGGAACTACAGTAACATGACATATAAAAGTCAAATCTTTCACCAGAAACGGCTTTAGCTCAACATTCGATGCGATAACATCCTATCTTGAGTTTTTGCTGGAAAGCTGAGGATTTCAAGTTGAACTACATTCAAGTTCCCTTACTATTCCACACGAAACGGTGATTTCTTTAAAATTTAAGGTCCAAATGATCCTCCGCTCTACCCGCTCACAAATTCGAATAACTCAGCTTTGAAGCTCAAAACATGATTGAAACTGCATTTCTGTTAGCTGATATGTTATGAGTCAGTCATTATTATTAGGAGATGCATAAATGATGCATGTTCCTTATCCGCGGCAGAGAGGTATGAAAATGTGCGAAATTCATTATTTGATAGAACCACAAAATGTTCAGTCTACGGGAAATTTGCAGAAATCTAGAAAATAAAACACTCAAAAACCACAAAGACCTTGTGAAATCCAAATTTGGTCAAACATGTGCTATACACACATCAGATATCCATATGTACCCTTGCTGTATTTTTTCGTAAGTAAAAAATGAAAATTGAAAATAGGCCAAAAACTCAAGAATGTCGCCCTTTTCAGGGTTTCTTTATGTTGATTTATATCTCGACAATAACGCGCGAGAAAGGCTGTAAACTTATTGTTATACTCCCAAAGGCTTGTAGTACGGAATAGGCTATGTCTTGACAGTCCAGCACTGATTTTGGAAACATGAAGAATTTTATTTTCTCTTAGCCATGGAAGACATACAGCAAGTGTAGCTGGCTGACGGCCGCATAGCTGATATAACAAGTAATTCTTGTGTGCAAGTTGGAAGTTTGTAAAAATTTTTTGAACGGAAATCCAATTAAGAATTTCAAATTTTTTCCTAACTCTGTGTGCACTAAACTTCGTAAGCTTGTTTGAACATCATCTTGTAGAGCTTCCTTTGCTCTGTCGAATGTTATGTTTTGTAGATTGTTATACCATTTCTTCCGCTCAGGAATAAGTAACATGCATTGATTATGCATCAACCAATACAAGCAAGTCGTCCATACGATACATGTATATAT